TGGAGTTTGCGTCTCTCTCTCATCATCATCATCACGGTGGCTAGGAGATGTTAACTACCTCGCCTGGTCTACAGGAGGTCGTGGGTTCGATCCCGACCCTGATGCCTGCTGTATATTTGAAGTTTACGTGTCTCTCTCATCATCATCACGGTGGCTAGGAGATGTTAACTACCTCGCCTGGTCTACAGGAGGTCGTGGGTTCGATCCCGACCCTGACGCCTGCTGCTGTATATTTGGAGTTTGAATGTCTCTCTCTCATCATCATCACGGTGGCTAGGATGTTAACTACCTCAGCTGGTGTACAGGAGGTCGTGGGCTCTATCCAGACCCTGACGCCTGCTGCTGTATATTTGGAGTTTGAGTGTCTCTCATCATCATCACTGTGGCTAGGAGATGTTAACTACCTCAGCTGGTCTACAGGAGGTCGTGGGTTCAATCCCGACCCTGACGCCTGCTGCTGTATATTTGGAGGATGTTGTTGTATATGTTGGGTATGAAAATTTGTTATGTTGTATGCGTGCGTGGGTGAAATTATTATGTTGTATATGTGGGTTATGAATATTCAGTGGAAATAATAATAATTAAATGAAATTTGGCCAAATGTGTAATTATCCGGAAATATGTTAATTATGTAATTACGCACATTTTAATTATGCCAATTCGAGAGGTAATCGTATTAATTATGCGAGTGGGTGTAATTATGATAACGCAAGTCGTTATGATAACCAGACCCCGGTTCACCCCGTTATCGCTTTAACATTTACTGAGTATGTATTAGTGTGTTTATTAAGGTCACCAAGTTCAAATCTCAACGCAGAAGCAGATCTTATGCATAGATTTCAGGAAAGAATCACACAACCACTTCTGTATTGATCAATTTATTACTAATTCAACCTTAACTATGATATAGTATGCGAACTCTCAACCCCGGAACGTCAATACGGCATCAATACAGTATCATCAACGATTGTCTGATTTCACTTTGACAACGGCACATGGATCCCGCATAACGCGATGGTTGTTAGTGAGAGAGAGAGTCGTTAAAACATGCAAATACTATGCTAAGAAAACCTTAACGTTAATGAATGATTATACTCAATATTGTTCACGCAGTACCGCACTCCTTATTGATCTTACGCAACCCTTATCACGTTGTTAACACCTTGGGTCACGGAACAGTTGAATATTCTGTAGAGGATGCGAGTACGTGCGGCGATTATGACTGAAAGATACTTGAAAGATTATACGGCGATAAAAAAAACACAATCGAAAACAGTTATTATTCTTAAAGGCACCAATCTCAACAGATACATCGGCAGGTTATCTCAGAACGGCTCGGAGTAAGGGCCTGCGACGGTGCTCCTTTTCCGAAGATCGTTATCTTATACCAAGTTTACTAATTGGGGACCAGATCACCTGATAAGGATCCGGTGGGCCACCACTCCCCACGTGAGCGTGGCTCGGCGGAAGGAGGTGCCAAGAATCAGTTCGTATTGATGGATCTGTTGGGAATTTATGCGATTAAGAGTACAGCCCACTAAATATTAAAGATAAAAATTAAGAATACTCTTATAAACGACGGAGGGCCATCCCTCGGTCTCGTTGTGATGCTTTCCAGCCACGGATGGCTTATGGGTTCGAGTGTTTTTGAGTGGTAAGAGTTGTCTTGAATATTCAGTGTTCGGAGTCGAATCTTTAGGTCAAACAGACGCCTGGTGGTCGTGTGGTGAGGGGGCGGTGCGCGTCATACGTATCAGTCGATCCCCTGTCACCGTGGTGGTTCGGATGGCTGTTGATACGCTGTCGCAGTTCGGAACCCGGTCGGTAGGTGGCGCCCACAACTCGCTCGTAGCGTGCAGCGCTGGATCGTCGCCAAACCGCAACGATCACCACTCCGGCGGCAGCAGAGATTTCCGGCTCGGCAGAGGTTGACGAGCTGAAGATGAGTCGAGTCGACCCGCTGGTCGCAGCTTGCTCCTGAGTCGACCCTCCCGGTCGAGCTCGCTCCTGGGTCGACCCGCTGGTCGCCCTCGCTCCTGAGTCGACTCTCTGGTCGCACTCCTGAGTGGACCCACTGGTCGCACTCCTCCTGAGCCGACTCTCCCGGTCGCGCTCCTGAGTGGACCCTCTCGTCGCACTCGTTCCTGAGTCGACCCTCCCGGTCGAGCTTCTGAGTGGACCCTCCCGTCGCACTGGTTTCCAATGCTCAGGATCCTTTACTTTATGCCGAAAATTCCCCCTGGATCCCGCCCACAAGGCGGGGCTTCTTCCGATTTTTGCTGTGTCAGGATCTGTCCGTAGGCAGGTGTGTCCATGTGTGTGTCCGTACGTCCGTGTGTCCTTGTGTGCATCACTGACGGTATATTCCGTTGTCACACTCCCTCCATAAAACCCACGAGCAAACAATCAGATGTTACAAATTGCCTCGAAGTCGTCTCTCTGTCTGGGTGCAATATTATCTCTTGTCTGGCCTTCTTCATGACCCAAAACACAGACGTTACAAATCGTCTCATAGGCGTCTTTGTTCGTGTTGCACAACCTGGAGGGAGGGGCAACACTCTCTCCGACCCGGCGCACAAAGAAATGGTTAAAAGTTTTAAGTTAACATTTGTCCCTTACTATTTCACAGTTATGATTTTGTATGTAACCTAAGGTCTGTCGTTTCCCATCGTGGTGCTTGACTCAAGTGTAGGTGTTTCCCCGAGCGTATACACACTCCTATCCCGCGCTGCGGGGATACAAAGACGGCCGGGATCTCCCTTTCTCTCCGACCCTGGGTTTAACATCGTTTTTTTTATTATGTATTATATTCGACCTGGTTGTGATTCATCCCGTTATCCTGGCTTTTCCATAAGTTTTACTTTGTCTTTTCATGCATATACTTATTACTATTAATTTATTTCCGATATCTTAGGTTAAGGGGTAAGTTTCTTGATCCTAGGAATTCGTATTCCTTGGTGCCTGGATGGTTATATAAGCGGAATATAGTTTACGGTGAATAGCGTTAACATTGATGTTATGTGCGATATTATGTATTGTGATGTCTTTAACTTAACTTGTTTGTCAGGGCTTTACTGACACGAAGTTGCATTCATAGCCCGCAGTCTTTGCCCCACCCTATCTCTGCTCGCCGTTGTTGTTGCCGTCCAGCTGCCGTTAATTCAAGGCCTCATTAATTTCCGTCACTCCTGAGTAGGTGAGGGCGGTTGAACCTTGGAGTCAGTTCTGGTTTTTGTCTGCCTGCTTCTTCTTGTGTCCCCTGACCCCGGGAGTTATTATTCTACTTTATGGCCTGTCGAAGCCCCACTCGCTGTTGCTGGGCTGGTGTTGTTCCCGGCTTTTTGCTTACGTTTGCAGTTCGCCGTGCTCTTGATTTCCTTCCCTCGTCAACCTTATATCGACTATTCGCTCCTGTCTGGGTGCGATTCAATTTTGACTTAGGAAGGTTCTGATTGTCATATGCTTCGGGTCGAGTTGTATAGAAAGTATTAAGGTATGGAAATAACATTTCATATTGACTTAATAATGGTGATGGTTCAGTAGGCGTAACTTGTGGCCTGGTTTAATTGGAGTGGGTGTGAATATCAATAACTTTAGCCTACCCTGTTGTTAAATTCCGACTTTAACGTTACTTTAAAACCATGCAGGATAGTTGGGCTTTTTGCCTTAACTATGTCTGGCTGACACTCCCACTGTCTCTGCCCTTGCACGGGTGACATGTGCCCGTTCATCAGGCCTTATCTTTCCTTGAAGCAAGGTTGCAAATTCTGCCATCCTAGCCCTCCTCCGGTTCATTACTTAACAACACCTGGTGTTTTGCAGTTTGCTGCGCTTGGTGTGTTTCAATCATTAAAAAAAACAAGTAAAAAGATAATATATAAAAATCATCAAATATTATTAATCTCAATTATGGAAGAAGGGTTAGGATACAACAATGTATCCACAATTCTGTGGCTGTCACCTGATGAGGCTGGTTGGTGTTGTTGTAATTACCGGTGAAATGTCACAGCCCTCGAATTGTAAATGTTGTTGTGGGTTTACTCTGCGAACACACAACCAGTGAGTGCTGAACGAGTCACGAATTGGCACGTTTCGTTTACGCGACAAACCTTACTAATTGGCTGTGTCGGCTCGTGGCGGGTTTAACGACACATTTATATATTTACGCGATCTAACCCAAAAAAGCCTCTATGCATATTTGGAGTTTGCGTGTCTCTCTCTCTCCCCGTGGTCGCCTGGATTTTCTCCAGGGTCCTTCGGTTTTCCCCTCCACATTTAGAATCAACATCACGCGTTTCGAGTATTTGACTGCTATAAATGTCCACGTGATGGTGATGATAATCCCACCACCGTCCGACGAGATTGTCACATTTACTGGCTGTATAGCAAAAGAAGAAACACAATTACTTCATACTCTTAGGTTTTTTCGGTAAAGTCACGTAGGTAAAACATAAAATTAAAAGTTAATAAAAGTAATAATGAAAATAAAATAATAAATGAAGACGTTTTGGAGGCAACACAAGTCTCCGTCATCAGGTGGGACTGTCTCACTTGATGCAGTAATTTTAGCTGTGACGATCCCACCTGATGACGGAGACTTGTGTTGCCTCCGAAACGTCGTGATTTATTATTTTATTTCCATTATTACTTTTATTAACTTTTTATTGTATTTTCTACCTACGTGACTTTACCGAAAAAACCTAAGAGTATGAATCCTTGCAGTCACGAAAGCTTCAAATCTAGAAACAATTACTTCGCTATGCGAGCTTTAACATATGCTACAGGCTTTGCACTAGCTTAGTCCAGCACTGCAACGGATGCGAAATAAACTTCTGATTGTGAACTTCTTCCTCCGTGACGACCGCCCCTTGTGCTTGTACGATGGGCGACGCGGAGACCGGCCGCGCTCGGCCATTCTGCTTCCCATTTCTTTCACCGAGTCCACGTTCGTTCTTCTTTTGCTTGCCGCGTTCTCGCTTTTGCCGTGCGCCCCTCCGCAGCGAATCCGCAGGCCGAGAAGCCTAAGCGGGCGATGTGGGACTTCGGCAAGGCAAAGGGCGACGACGATGCCGGGTCCACCAAGCCCGGCGGCGTTGCCGTCGAGGGGGAGAAGCAGCAGCAGCTGCAGCAGGAGACGAAGCAACAGGAAGGTTCCTTTTTCAAAATGTTCTCGGGGAAAGAGGCGACGGGCGCCGCCGACGGGAAGAACGACAGGGGGGAGGACGGCTCCCGCGAGCCGGCGGGGAGACGCGACGCGGCGGCGGCTGCGACGGCGGGCAGCACGGCGGGGCAGCAGCAACAGCAGAAGGAGAGCGGAGGGTCCTTCTCGTTGAAGCAAATGTTCGGCGGGAAGGACTCAGCGGCACCGGCGGCCGACGAGGAGTCGGCGCAGAACGCGGCGGGGAAAGCCGAGTCGGCGATGAACGGCCCCGTCGCCAAAACGACGCTGCCCGCCGCTCGGGGAAGATCCGCGGAGAAGCCACGCGCGGCGCAGGTGACCCCATGATCCTCGGCCGCCCCGCTCGCTCGCTCTCTTTCGCTCTCACTTGCTCACTTCCTCGCTCACTCGCTCTCTTTCGCTCTCACTCGCTCACTCGCTAGTTCATCACACGATGGTCAAACCGATGTATGTAATTCTCAGAGCTGGCATTTAGCCGAAAGCGCAACCAATTTGTTGAGCGGGCTGAGATGACCAACTCTCGATGTGAGAGAAGCCAGTTTCATCACAACGCAGCCTGAGCGAGTATATATCGGTCCCTAAGTCTGTAGGCCTCTGTGAGTCTATGGGTCTCTATGGCACTCTATGTGAGTCTACAGGTCCCTATGTAAGTCTGTAGGCCTCTGTGAGTCTACGGGTCCCTATGTAAGTCCGTAGACCTCTGTGAGTCTATGGGTCTCTATAGCACTCTCTGTGAGTCTACGGGTCCCTTTGTAAGTCTGTAGGCCTCTGTGAGTCTATGGGTCTCTATGTGAGTCTGTGGGTTTCGATGTGAGTCCGTGGGTCTGTGTGCAAACCTGTGGGTCTCTACGTGAGTATGTGGGTCTCTGTGTGGTGCTGTGGGTCTGTATGCGAGCCTATGGGTCTCTACGTGAGTCTGTGGGTCTCTATGTGAGTCCGTGGGTCTGTGTGTGGTGCTGTGGGTCTCTATGTGAGTCTGTGGGTCTCGATGTGAGTCCATGCGTTTGTGTGTGAACCTGTGGGTCTCTACGTGAGTCCGTGGGTCTCGATGTGAGTCCATGGGTCTCGATGCGAGTCCATGCGTTTGTGTGCGAACCTGTGGGTCTCTACGTGAGTCCGTGGGTCTCGATGTGAGTCCGTGGGTCTGTATGCGAGCCTACGGGTCTCTATGTGAGTCCGTGGGTCTCGATGTTAGTCCGTGGGTCTGTGTGCGAACCTTTGGGTCTCTACGTGCGTCCGTGGGTCTCTATGTGAGTCCGTGGGTCTGTGTGCGAACCTGTGGGTCTCTACGTGAGTCCGTGGGTCTCTGTGTGGTGCTGTGGGTCTGTACGTGAGTCCGTGGGTCTCGGTGTGAGTCCGTGGGTCTCTATGTGAGTCCATGGATCTGTATGCGAGCCTACGGGTCTCTACGTGAGTCCGTGGGTCTCTATGTGAGTCCGTGGGTCTGTGTGCGAACCTGTGGGTCTCTACGTGAGTCTGTGGGTCTCTGTGTGAGTCCGTGGGTCTGTGTGCGAGCCTATGGATCTCTGCGTGAGCCACTGGTGACCGGGCCGAGACCATCGACTCACTAGACGAGAGAAGCCGGTGTCTCACCACGGGCAGCGGCTGAAACCCGGGGTTCAATCCCAGGCTCTCAGCGCTCAGCGGCACAGCGCCTTGACCTCCGAGCCATGTCGTCGTTGATGGATGGCGCATCTGTACTTCTTATTTTTAGTGGAGATTTCAATTTAGTATTTCTTGGGAAACGGCGTGGTTCACCACCGGCACTTGTTATGCCGAATCTTGCATTTTTATTGGTTCCTTCGTTAGATAAAACTTTTAAAAGATGTTGATTTGAAGCTTTCGTGACTGCAGGAATTCATACTCTTTGGTTCTTTAAGTAAAGTCTCGTAGATAGACAATAAGTAATATAATTTTTTTTAAACACGCTTTAATGAAATGTACCATACTAGTAATGGAAGAACTCCACGACTCCAGGAAGTGGCCCCGAGGCTTGCCATAACGTAAGGGACCGTGGTGATATACAGCCAACGTCAGTTTACCGTGAACAAATATAGCCAAGCTGAAACATAACATATAAAAAAATTATATTTTAAAGTATATATTTTTTACTATAGAATATAGTATTGTCACCAGTATGACATAAGTATACCAAGTTTGCAGTCGATACCACATTGGGAAGTGGGTAAAAATCGAGTTACAAGATTTGAGGATACAACAACGACGACAACAACAACAAACAGAGTGAATTAAATAAAAGCGTGTAAAAAATTAACCCGTAAAAACAAAATTTTTCACTATAAATCCTTTATATGCGTGTTCAAAGGGCCACAACCCAGCCCACATTGGTCTTTGAAACGGGCGGCTAGAGTCCTCTCGTCCTCTGGCTTGAGATGGCTGCCACCTATGGGTCAGATGATTGTCTGCCACCATTAAGCAATTGGTAATTAAATATAAAAAAAAATTCCTAAAAGGTGTAAAATTTTGGAACATTTTTTTTCACGAAAATACATTGTCACACACAACGAGTCTGTGTGCAAAATGTCAGCTCGATTGGATCACGGGAAGTGGGTTAAAAACGACCGAAAGATTTGCACGGTCGTAAGCGCGCAGATGTAGTGGTGGTATTGACGTGCGCCGGCAGTGATGGATCATGGGGCGCGGGGTTGGGCACGCGATGTGGGCGTGGCATGGACGCGCGCGCCGGTGGTGAGGCGCGCTCACACAAGCTGGGAAAAGAGGATCGTAGCGAGTGTGCAGTGATTGGTCAGATAAGTGGGTACTCTCAGCGACGTCCGCAGGAGGGGTATAAAGGGGGACACGCGAGAGCACTCGTGGTCAGTGTTAACCAGTTGAAGACCGAAGACGGGGTGGAGGAGGTAGGGGCCCTGTGTGGCTCGGAGCCGAGACTGGGGGGACCGTAGTCCGACGCCCGTGTGGGTCGGGACGGTGGTACCCAGAGCCGAGACGGGCACCCCGGCTGGGTGTGTCCCGGAAGGCTACAGGGCGTAAGAGCCCGTGTCAGTACAGCTGAGTGGGTGTTGGTCACCCGTGTAGCTGAGTGGGTGTTAGTCACCCGTGTAGCTGAGTGGGTGTCCGTCACCCGTGTAGCTAAGTGGGTGTTGGTCACCCGTGTAACGAAGTAGGGTGTTAGTCATCCGTGTAACTACAAGTTGGCGAAAATAAAGAGTGTGCTACCCGTGAAGTCGTCTCCTGCCGAGTTACTACTTTACAACTGGCGTCAGAAGTAAACCTGTCTTCAAGGAGAATGGACACAAGGAAGACTTCTCGTTCCCACGTGCAAGACCGGGGAGACGACGACGTACCGGTGACACCACCCTCGGGAGGAGAGGACGAGGAGTTGCCGCCGATGCAGCACTTCGCGGAAATGGCCGATGCTCCGCCCGCCTCCGACACCAGCCTGCAGGACGCACACTCCCGCCTGGCGGAGTTGCTGCTCGCCGCCGCTGCGATCTTGGCGGAGATCTCCGTTCCAGTGGCCGGTGGAACGCCTGCGGGGTTGGAAGAGGCGGCGCGACTGGAGGGTTCCCGCCATAAGGCGTTTCGCGCCAAAAGTTTGGGAGTTGGCGCCATTTTTGAGGGTCCGCCTCCGGTTGGCGGGAAACGCGGACACCACGTGGCCAGAGGTCTCCACACAGCGCAGCCCGCGTCATCGGCGAGCGCCGGAGCTCTCCATTTTGCGCCTGCAGAGGGAGCCGACATTTTCTACAACCACAGCGGCGCGCGGGAAAATCGTTCCAACGACGACGACGACGATCGAGTTCTCCAGCAACGATTGCCCGCGCTGTCGGTGTTCAAGGCGGACGGGGGCGACTGGGGAGCCTTCCAGCGACGGTTCATCGCGCATCAAGAAATGTCGGGGTGGTCCGACACCACTGCCCTGCGCGCGCTGCCAGCGATGCTCGACGACGACGCGCTTGCGGCCTTCACGTCTGCCCCGAGGTCGTCCCGCTCAACGCTCCAGGCCGCGCTGCACCTGTTGGCCAAGGTGTTCGGGCCGCCCTCGACCTGTCGCCACCAGTTCTACGATCGGCGGAAGGTGGTTGGAGAAACAACGCTCGCCTATCGCACGGCGCTGCTCGCCCTGGCGGATTCAGCTTTTCCCCGCATGGACAAGGAGGGGAAGGACGCCATGGTGACGGAGCAGCTGCTGGCGCTGGCTCACGGATTGGGAGTTCCCATTAATACGGCGGACGAGATGGACATCTGCTCCCTGGGGATTGCCACGAGTATCCACGCTTACGAGGTCCTACAGCGGAAGCCGACGGTCGTCTGCGCATCGGTGGAGAACGGGGCACCGGCCGCCACGATCATCGGACCTCAGCCTGCTGTGCCTCGGGAGGAGGCCTTCGCTGGTTCGAGGCCGGGGGAGTGGAGACCGGGAGGTCGTTCGCCCACACGCTCCTCCCGCAAGCTGGAGCAACCGAAACCTACGACGTCCCTCGTCGTCTGCTACAACTGCGGCCTTCGGGGCCACGTCGCGGCCGGGTGCCGGGCCCCGCGTCAACGCACCGCGGGACCACGTCCGGACGACGACCAGGGACTCAAGACATCCCAACTGAACCCGGCAAGTCGCGGCACCTCACACGTTCGGTCCACACGCACGGCACGTTCGGGTCGCCGCTTAGCGGTGGGGGGACCGTGTATGGGCGCCGGGGGTTCGGTTCGGCGAGAGGGGTCCGCGTACGGCCCGAAGGCAGTCGAGTGGTCCGAATTGGCCCACAGGATTGTGGCTGCGTCGGCCGGGTCGTCCGTGGTAACGGGGTACATTGACGGGGTTGAGGTCCGGGTGCTCGTGGACACGGGTGCGTCGGCCACTATTATTTCGGACCTTATTTATAATATTCTTCCCGTACAATGTCGACCACTTCTGCCGGTGGACGTACCATTTTACGCGGCAAACGGGGGATCTTTGGGAATCATCGGCCAGATTCGGGCGAATATTTGTATTGGCGACATTAAATTGGCGGGTCCTATTTTTGTATCATCATCGTTGGCCGTTCCTTGTTTACTAGGCACGGACTTTCTGTCTAAAATGCCCATAAAAATTCTCATAGACCAGGCCTGCATTGAGCTTCCGTCGGGTCGGCGGGTTGAGTTTTTGAAGAGTCCAAATAAGATACGCACGGCTTGTGCGACGGTGCAGGCGCTGGCAACCCGGACTGTACGGGTGCCCCCGGGATCGCAAATGTTGGTACCCCTTCGGTTGAGAAAACCCCTTGGGGCGGATGCGGGGGCGCAGGGAGTTCTATTGGGGCCGTCTAACAGGGCTAAAGGGGACCTCGGCTTAGCGG